GTGCAAATGATTTTACCACATAATCCACAGTTACTAGTCTATTCAACATAATTATTTCACGTGCACAATCACTGTTGTCATCAGTTCTGGACATTGATGGGTGGTTTAATATAACTGGAATGTGGACAATTTTTTACTCATGCTCAGATAAAATACTCTAAGAAAAAGACAACTCAACTATGAAAAAAATGCAACAGACTTGAATAAGTTTTCCATAAAATAAGACATCAAAATAACCAATAAAGTATGAAAAGATGTTCAAACTCATTAATTTCAAGGAACATGCCAATTACAGTCACAATAAAATTCTAATATACTCCCATCAAAGTAGTTGAAAATTTAAAAGCTGACAGCACTGGTATAAACTACTACTATGGCTGATAACCACCACTTGTCTGTCAGTTTGTCTGTGGTACTGTGGTGGCTTATGAGTTGCTGTGATTCTGGAGGTAATGCCATGGGTATTTCAAATACCAGCAGGGTCACCCATGGTGGACAGGTTTCAGATAAGCTTCCAGACAAAGCAGACTAGGAGGAAAGAGTGATGAACTACTTACGAATATTTCGTCACTAAAAACCTTATGAATAGCAGAGAAACACTGTCAGATATAGTGCCAGTTTGAAGACTAAGGTGTGCCTGACCCAAGCTATGGTATTTTCAACAACCTCATATGCATGCAAAAGCTGGACAATGAAAAAGGAAGACCCTAGAAGAATTGATGGTTTTGAGTTATGGTGTTGGAGGAGAATATTGAAAGTACCATGCGCTGCCAAAAGAACCAACAGATCTGTGTTGGAGGAAGTACAGCCAGAGTGCTCCTTGGAGGCCAGTATGGACAAACTTCATCTCTCATACTTTGGACATATTGTCAGGAGGGGCCAGTCTCTGGAGAAGGATATCATGTTTGGTAAGGCAGAGGGTTGGAGAAAAAGAGGAAGACCCCAGCGAGATGGACTGGCAAAGTGGCAGCATCAATGGGCTCAAGCGTGGCAACAATTGTGAGGTTGGCCCAGGACCGGGCAGTGTTTCATTCTGTTGTGCACAGGGTCGCTATGAGTTGGTACTGACCTGATGGCACCTTACAACAACAACATGGCTGATAAAAAGAAATAACCTCAGTAGCTGAAGTGACAGGGACTGTGTGATTACTGCGCTTTCCCCACACCATCAGGTGGTCTATCCTTACTGCCAACATGGAGTTGGCATCTGATAGCTCCTGAAACCACTCCTTAAGTATCTTCTCAATGGTATCATCATATTAGTAAACACATTACTGTTGTTGCTGCTAAGTGCCATCGAGTTAGTTCTGACTTACAGCAACCCAATGTACAAGAAAACGAAAACCCACTCACTCAGTCCTGCACCATCTTCACAATTGCTGCTATGCTTGAGTCCACTGTTGCTGCCATTGTGCCAATCCATCTTATTGGAGGTGTCCTTCTTTTTTGCTGTCCCTCAAATTTACCAAGCATGATGTCCTTCTCCAGGGACTGGTCCCTGATAATATGTATAAAGTATGAGAGATGAAGTCCGGCCATCTTGGCTTCCAAGGAGAATTCTGGTTGTACTTCTTTCAAGACCGATTTGTTTGTTCTTCTGGCAGTCCATGTTACCTTTATATTTATATTCTTATCCAACACAATAATTCAAATGTATAAATTTTTCTATAGTGTTCCTTATTCATTGTCCAACTTTCACATGCATATGTTATTGAAAATATCATGGGGTGGGTGAGGTGCACTTTAATCCTCAAATGATATCTTTGCTCTTGAACACTTTATTTTAAGAGGTCCTGTGAAGCAGATCTGCCTAATGCAATACATTGTTTGATTTCTTGGCTACTGCTTCCATGAGTTTTGATGGATGATTCGAGCAAAATGAAGTCTTTGATAACTTTAATCTTTTCTCCATTTATCAAGATGTTATTTATTGCTCCAGTGGTGAGGATTTTTGTTTTCTTTACATTGAGGTGCAACCCACACCAAAGGCTGTGGTCTTTGATCTTCATCAGTAAGTATTTCAAGTCCTCGTCACTTCCAGCAAACAAGGTTTTACCATCTTCATATCACAGGTTGTTAATGAGAGTTCTTTCAATCCTAATGCCACATTCTTCTTCATATAATACAGCTTCTCGGATTATATGCTCAGTATACAGATTGAGTAAGTATGGTGAAAGAATACAAGTGAGGCTTATACCTTTCCTGATTTTAAGCCATTTGGTGTTCCCTTTGTTCTGTTCAAACAACTGCCTCTTGGTCTATGTGCAGATTTCTCCTAAGCACAATTAAGTGTTCCAGAATACTCATTCTCCACAGTGTTGTCCAAGCTTGTCATGATCCACACAACTGAACACCTTTGCATAGACAATAAAGCACAGGTAAACATTTTCTGGTATTCTGTTTTTAGCCTAGATCCATCTGACGTCAGCAATGATATCCTTTGTTCCACATCCTCACCAGAATATGGCTTGAACTTCTTGCAGTTCCCTGTTGATGTACTCTTGTAGCTGTTTTTGCATTAGCTTTAGCAAAAATTTACTTGCATGTGATATTTTAGTGATATTGTCCAATGACTTCTGTATTCCATTGGGTTACTTCTCTTTGCAATGGGCACAAATACAGATTTCTTCCAGTCAGCTGGCCAGGAAGTTGTCTTCCAAATTTTTTGACATACATGATTGAGTGCCTCCAGTGCTACCTCACTTTGTTGAAAGATTTCAATTTGTATTCCATCAATTCCTGGTGCCTTGTTCTTTGCCAATGCCTTCAATGCACCCTTGACTTCTTCCTTTAGGATCATTGGCTCTTGATCATATGCTACCTCTTGAAATGGTTGAACATCAACCATTTATTTTTGATACAGTGACTGCGTATTCCTTCAACCTTCTTTTGATGTTTTCTGTATCATTCAATATTTTGCCCATTGAATTCTTCAATATTGTAAGTTGAGGCTTGAATTTTTTTCCTTAGTTCTTTCAGCTTGAGAAATGCTGAGCGTGTTCTTCCCTTTTGGGTTTCTAACTCCAGGTCTTTTGTACATTTCTTTATATTTGACTTTGTCTTCTCAAGCTGCCTTTTGAGATTTTCTGTTCAGCTCTTTTACATTCTCATTTCTTTCATTTGCTTTAGCATCTCTATGTTGGAGAGCAAGTTTCATAGTCTCTTCTGACATCATTTTGGTCTTTTCTTTCTTCCTTGTCTTATTAATGACCTTTCACTTTTTTCCTGTATGATGTTCTTGATGTCATCCCACAACTCTTCTGGTCTTTGGTCTTTAGTGTTTAATGTATTGCATCTGTTCTTCAGATGATCTCCAAATATAGGTGAGGTATGTTCAAAGCCACATTTTGGCTCTCATGGACATGCTTTAATTTTCTTCAGCTTCAGCCTGAACTTGCATATGAATAATAGATAGTCTGTTCCACAACCTGCCCTGGTCTTGTTTTGGTTGATGATATGGAGCTTTTCCACCATCTCTTTCCACAGGTGTAGTCCATTTGATTTCTGTGTATTCCATCTGGTGAGGTCCAGGTGTATAGTCATCTTTTATGCTGTTTAAAAAAGGTATGTGCAATGAAGAAGTCATTGGTCTTGCAAAATTCTATCATGCAATCTCTAACATCATTTCTATCACCAAGGCCATATTTTCCAATTACTGACCCTTCTTTGTTTCTAACCTTCGCATTCCAATCACCAGTAATGATCAATACATCTTGATTGCATGTTGATCAATTTCAGACTGAATAAGTTAGTAGAATTCTTCAATTTCATCCTCACTGGCTGTAGTGATTGGTGTGTAAATTTGAGTAATACTGGTATTAACTGGTCTTCTTTGTAGACATATGGATATTATTCTATCACAGACAGCATTATACTTCAAGATAGATATTGAGTTGTTCTTTTTGATGATGAATACAATACCATTCCTCTTCAATCTGTCATTCCCAGCATAGTAAACCATGTGTTTGTCAGATTTAAAATGGCCAATACCAGTCCATTTCAGCTCACTAATTGCAGCTGCAAAACAATGTACTGGACCGCAAGGTCTGTTTGAACTATAAGGTTGGCAGTTCAAATCTATCTGTTGCTCCTTGGAAACCCTATATGAGGTCACTATGAGTCAGAACTGACTGGATGACACTTAACAACAATAACACTTCATAGGTTATCAAAGTTTATGCAGTCCTTTTCATTTTTGACAACTTCCAATTCTCCTATATTCATACTTCATACTTTCCATGTTCCAATTATCATTGGATGTTTGTAAGCTGTTTCTTATTTTGAGTTGTGCCCTCTTAGCAAATTAAGGTCCCAAAAGGCTTTACTCCATTCTCATCATCACAGTCAACTCTACTTTGAGGAGGCAGCTCTGCCCCAGTCATATTTTGAGTGCCTTCCAACCTGAAGGTCTCATCTTCCAGCAGTATATCTGACAATATTCTAGTGCTCTTCATCATGTTTCAGTATTTAATATTCTGGTGCTATATGACAGTGTTCCACTGCTATTCATAAGGTTTTCATTGGCTAAACATCCAGAAGTAAGTCTGCTTTGCCTTACTCCTAGCCTAGCTTAGTCTTCAAGCTCAGCTGAAATACATTAATAGTAACTAATATCTAATGAGTACTTACTGTATGTTAATGCTGTGCTGAAGGTTTTTCAATGGTTAGCTATTTGAATCCTTAGGCAAGCCCTTAGCAATAGCTACCATTACATCTGTATTACAAATAAGTAAGCTGAAACTCAAAGAAGTTAACTATCTTATCCAAGTCACAGAGTGAAGTAGTGAAAATGGAACTCACGTAGGTCTGTGTGACTCCAGATTCCATGATCCTAAGTATTCCCCTCTCCCCAAAACAGTGGCTTCTCCTTCCTTAAAATCTACTTGTAAGCCAAGAACAAGTTGATTTCCTTTTAATCTTATTCTCTACTTGACCATCCAAGTCCCCTAGTTGGAAACGCAGAAAAGATTTATTCATTTTATTTTAGCTTTTTAACTTACCCACTCACAGTCGATTCCAAGCACTGGGAAATCTTCTAACTCACTCCTAAGCAAAGGCTCGATTTGATCCCACTCCTCCTCCTGAGACACAGTCACCACCTTTGCTTTGAGGATCCTCTCCTCCCATGAGGCTCTGGGGGCACTGCAGCGCAGCAGGGTGTCTTCTGAAGGGAGCAGCTCTCTACTGCCTAGCCCTTTCTGCTGCTGCTGAAAGGCACGTTTAGTCCTCCGGCGCTGAACGCCTTTCCACAAGACAAAACCCCCAACAGCCACGCCCAGAAGGGTGATCACTGTCAAAGCCACTGAGTGGTGTCTAGACATCTTTGACTTTCTGATGTTCAGGAAAGCATATCACTAATCCCACAATCTGTAAAACAAATGGCAAAAATATATTTATTTATATAATATAAATAGATGTAAACCAGTTTTCTGCTAAAAAGTAATTCTCTTAGAGTTCATGCATTCAGAAACTTTTTTTTTAAAAGTTATATTTAAGTGCTATCATTTTTGTACTCTGAACGTCACCTCTACCTCCATCCTCACCCAAGTAAACTCTCTTGTCCTCTGCCATTTGCCCCAGACCCAGGTAGTCATATAAAATCATTATTAATGGAGACAGAAGGAGCTAAAATTTCAGTTCCACTTGCTGATGTATTTGTGATTAAATGTTAGTTAATTGATGACCTTCAAGGTGTTTGCCTTTCAAACTTTTCATCTCTTAACTGTCGAATGAAAGCTTTTGTTTCTCAATTTAAAAATTCTTAAATATCAGCAAGTTGATAGGGAAATATTTTACTTTTCTCGGAGGTGTGGGTAGTAGGGGCTGAGAAAACAGATTTCCTCTTTTAAGTCTTAAAAGTTTTCCA